TCACAAGCCATGGCCCTCCAATGTTGAGTATTCATCTCTTTATCTGACAAATAGCAAGTTTACTACCTTCCTTACTCAATATGAAGTATATATCTCCCCAACACTCAGGATTTTCCCATGGATTTGTCTGAAGCAGGATTTATAATTAGTCAGATGACAGAAGGAGCTGTAAAACAGGCAATCTCCCATATGAACTTGATGTTCTGCCTTGAGTAGCAAAAGCAAGGCATGAACTCTTTCCAACCTCCTGGCTGTTAACTTTTCACACATTGCTTAATTAGATAACTATTCAGCCAAGTTCTGATACAGCTCACCTGAATGGAAAGTTCTTAGAAAGATAGTCAGTGGGAATGCAAATGCAGGTCCAGAGTCAAAGGGAGAAGGGTTATAACTCAATGGTGGAGCACAAGCTTCCTATAGGATGTCCTAAGTTAAATCCCTGGCAATTGTATGTGGGATGGGAAAAAACAGCCTTAATGTTGAGGAGCCACTACTATTTACATTTTAAGCTAAATGGGTCAGATAGGGATTCACAATATGGTCTATATCTAGCCCAGTTCAGTTGCATTGATTCACCTTTTAGTCTACTCCCGTGGTGGTGAACCTATGGCACTGCAAGCAAAAACAGATGGGATGGAGTAGGTCTGCATCACGCGCCTCCCCCTTCCCCTACTCTGCTTGCTGCTGGAGGGCTGGCCCAGTACTTACAGCGGGTTATGGAGCCCCAGAGTATGCCAGTCGAAGGGCCGGCAGGCTGTGGCTGCTGACGGACACTGTCGGCCCCCATGCGCTCGCTGACCTCTGTGTGCGGGGGCCGATGGTGTTAGGCAGCAGCTGCTCTGGCCCCTGCCTCAACTTGCCTTGCCCCTCACCCCACAGGACAAACTTCCAGCCCACCGCCCCGCCCGCCTGAAACCCCCTGGATCTCTCCCAACCCTCCCCAGACCCCACAAGCATTCCTCCCCATGAGCAACATCAAGGTGGCCACGCCCATCTCGACCACGTCCACCCAGTCTGCCGTGACCACTGCAGCCATGCCCACCCAATGGGCCACACCCACCCAGCACCCAACGATACATAAGTGGGTTTTGGGTTGCAGTTTGAGCACCTAGTCTCTAAAAGGTTCGCCATCACTGGTCTACTCTGTCAAATTCCACCCATGTCTTATCTTTAAAAAGAATTACAAGAAAAAGCTTGCTTTTTTATATTCCTGGGATTTAGAGGTCCTTGTGCATGAATCTCTGCTATTTTCCAGCTCTGAAGCTTCTGTTTAGTGGATGACTGCACCTGCCTCTGTGTCCCAGTGGCAATTGGACTTTAACAGTTGCAATCCTTTAAATGCATTTAAGACACCAAGAGCTCTAGGAATCCATTACCATACAATCTGGCTTTTCTGTAATAATTGTGTGTTGTCTCAGAGCCAGAAATCTCAGGTTTAATTATATCATTTTCCCATTCATTAACATTTTGAGCCTTTGAGCTTGTCAGAAACGAATTCAGATTTTGATTTAATGCAATGACAGACCATACATACTAATTTCAAGGGCCTCACTCTGCAAGCTGTGCTCATTTTTTAAAATATACCCAAGATATTTATGCATATAGGAGTGGGAGGTGAAAGCTTGGTAGGAAATGTCTCTAAAAGATAGGAAACTAGAATGAATTACCTGGAACAATTGTTCTTTTTAATTTGCTTGCAGTCTGTGCATGTGTCATCCAGTACAATTTAACCTACTTATCTACTTGATTAATTTAACTACTTGGTTAATTAATTAATTTATAAGTTATTTACTGTTTAACATACTAATTTATTTGCATAATAAAATACATATTTTTCTTAAGTGTCTATTTTACTTAGGACATAAAAGATCAAAATAGTAGGACCAAAATATTTTTTATCTAAAAAGCATAATTCCCACAATATTAAAGATTAGTGATAGAACATTGAAATCCCAGTATATTTGAGAATATAATCTAAACAAGAGGGTTGGTGTGTTAGAAGTTATTCTATAAAGATACATTGATATATTTTTAATACATTCATTCCTTCTAAAGTTTATTCTCATTCATATTGCTAAAGGGATTCCTATAGCCTATTATACTGGTATTTCTTCTCCTGCGACTATTGTAAATCTGAATTTTCTTTTCATTTTAGCTGCCACAGTTCCTGACAAGTTGCCATAACTCTTATTTCGGTTTATTTATCCATTAGAGTTTTGGGTAAATAGTCAAAGGACAACTTCTTTCCTTCCTTCCTTCCTTCCTTCCTTCCTTCCTTCCTTCCTTCCTTCCTTCCTTCCTTCCTTCCTTCCTTCCTTCCTTCCTTCCTTCCTTCCTTCCCCTGCACCTGCTTTACTTCACTATTCTAAGACAGTATATTAAATTGGAAACAGATGCCAAAGAAAAGACTAGAAAAACAACAATACTATAATTAAACCCTAAAAAAGCAGGTGAACCCTATATTAAATTGCCATTAAAGTTCCATGGAACAAAAACATCTTCATTCTTCACTAGTACATAAAGCTGAGCAAAAACAGAACTAAATTTTCTTACATGGGGAGGGAATACTTTTGTGGGGCAAACTGTATCTCTTGTTCTTACTATCCTAAGTTTCTTGGTTGTGAAAGATACAGTATACTAGGATTGCCAAAGAAATTGTAAACTCTATAAAGAGATTCATAAGTGAAGAGACTCTGTCAGATACCTTAATTACAAACATGCCCAGCTTCATAGATAAAAATTAGCTTGCTGAATCAATCAAAATTTTGAGCTGGTCTTAAAAACCAATGATATGCTTATGCAACTGATGTCAATAATAGTTTATAAGTATAAAACATACAGCCAGAAAGCAATCTGGGCTGAATCCTTTTGTACCACCTGCAATATCCTATTTTCCTCCACATGGAATACATTGCAGAAATCCAAATAAAGAGGTTAAGGTCTGGATCACTGTGACCAGACTCATTTCCTGCTGGAACATAAGATAGTGAGATGTCATTCTAAATATACTGCTGGATGTAACACCAACCCTACATTAATTTGAATGACTTTTAACCAGTAACTTTGATTTCACCGGATTGAATTTCAACTTATTGTATTAAAAGGCTGTAATGAAGGAATTAGAAACTTCCATGAACAATGAGCATCTACCTCCAAATTTAAAGGCAGCAGGACTCTGAATGCTGTTGCTGAGGAATTGCAGAAGGAAATGATGGGGGCCCTCAAGGAGGGTTTATTTTATTTTCATCACTGCTATGATGATACTGAAGGGTATTTATTTTAAATATTTATTTATTTATTTCCTATTTATTTTAATCTACAAAATCTCAGAGGGCGTAAAATTTTTAAGCCCTATAAATAGCAAGGTAGAAAGTAGTGGGGAGTGGTTTGTATTTAGCTGAACAAAAACCCTATCTAATATTAGATACTTTCCTTTGTTGGTAGCAAATTTTCATCTGCCAGTTGACTATTAAGAGCAGATTTTCTTCTTCCTACTTGTAACTAAATATTTTGAAAGATTTTGACTTATTGTCTGATGCAGTAAAAAAAAAAAATTCCTGGGAGAGTTTTCTCTCTGTGTTGCTTACTGCGTAGGAATGTAGAAAGAATATTGCGAAGTCTCTAGATGGAACTTCCAACAATATAAGTCCCTTGATAGCTTGTGCTGAATGTGTGATGATAATCAACAAGAGTTTAAAAGTAATCATCCTAGGAAGTTAATTAGAATCAAATGAAGTACCATTATTATTGCAATAAAACTGGAAATGCTGGGAAATGGGAAATATGTAGTTGTTGCAGCCCACATTATCTGATTGACTGGAGGAGGCTTCCAGGATAAATGTACTGATAGGGTTAAATGCTACTTTTGGAAAAACTTGTTGAGGGTTAGGGATGCTAGCAAAATGACAAACCTTGTGAATTCTGGTATGATTTGTGCTTTCTAAACAAGTGGACAGGTTGGAGTTCAGGTATCGATTCTTTCGCACTTCCCAAATGTTCTTAGCAAAGAGAAATGTGCCAGGACAAATTTAGATATAATTTGTGGATAAAATATATTTAGAAATTCATATTTGGGAAGAACATATGTGAAAAAAAGTATTTTAATGAGCATTTTATGCATATATTTAAAACAGGCATGCCGGCAAGAAAGCATAATACGATTTTTATGGATAACATACATGCAAGAAATAAATAGCTGTGCCATCCCAAATTGTACTGGTTCAGAATGCTGTAGGTCATGCCTCCCCCCCCCCCATTTATTGATTCAAACAGATACTTCATTCTTCAGAAAAGAAATCAGGATTCAAGCCCAATGTTTTCTCAAAAAGATGTTCCAAAAGATGTAATAGAAACATAAATTTCTGGCTTATATTTAATTAGATCTTTGTTTCAATTTCTTAGGTTACCCAATATCTGTATTTTGATGTGTGGTAAGTTTTTGCCAGCCCCACCTGGAGACACTGTATTGAACCTTAGATTTTTGTGTGTGGAAATCATATACTCTGTCACAAAATATTGATCTGTTTCCTACCATTATATATGTTTAGGCTGCATAAAAAAATAAGATATTGGGCACAAATCTCTCTCTGTCCCTCTTTCTCCCTCTCTTTTGTGCCTGTGAATCAGTACTGATGCCTGGTGAGTGCCTGAATTTCTCCCTGCAAGATTTTGGGAAATGGCTTGCCATTTTCTCCTTCTTCCTCGGGCTGAGAGAAAGCAGTTGGCCTCTGATCAAGTACCTGACTTTGTGCCTAAGGTGGGACTAGAATTCACTGACTCCTGGTTTAACCACTACCCTACTCTCCAAAATATCTTAATGTGTAATAATTAAAATAATTATTATCTATAACAATGGTGCCCATTTTCAACTGCTATGCAATTTTTTTGATGCTATGATCCTATTTTTCTGACCACGACCTCTCAGTTGTCTCATGAATACAGCTTTGATTCTTGATTTCTATAGCTGTATCTTGAAATTTGCCCAATGTGTCTTTTTTCAGTCTAGGTCTTAAGGATGGAAGAGTTTTAGACTCATGATGAGAACTTACACAAACTAATGTGAATAAGGGAAAATTCAAGAGCACACCAAACTATGGTGAGTACATCTATAGTTGTTTTTTTTCTATTTTATGCAAATTTCAAATCTTTCATGCTTCTAATGAAACTTTATTCCTACAAAAACACTCAGTTCTATGACCAGATTTAGAAGTTTATGAGCTGTTTCTTATGACAAAACGTAACAGACATTGAGATGAAATATGTTCATTATGTCAATTTAGTAATCTAAGACAGGAAGAGTGATTTCCAATTTTGAGAAATAAATAATTGCAATTTAGATCATTTAGAATAAAATACACTATGGTATTAAGCAAACAGATGTCTACTAACTCTGTAGAATTTTGCTACAGAGGGACTGGAAATCATTCTGGAAATAGAATTTATTGTTTTCTTGAAATTCCTCCTTCTGCCCTAATCTTTAATCTCATATATATGTTAAATTTAGAAACTGCCAATCTCTCTCACAAAACAATTCTCCACAGTGTACAAAGAAAATATAAAACATAAAAATTATATATAAATATTATATTAGTAGTTAAAATTCAAAATTAAAAGGGGGGGCTTCAAGGCTCTAACCAGCCCCACTGGCTTTCAGGGTTTTTTTTTTTGTTTCTTCTTCTTCTTCTTCTTCTTCTTCTTCTTCTTCTTCTTCTTCTTCTTCTTCTTCTTCTTCTTCTTCTTCTTCCTCTTCTTCTTCTTCTTCTTCTTCTCCTCCTTCTTCTCCTCCTCCTCCTCCTCCTCCTCCTCCTCCTCCTCCTCCTCCTCCTCCTCCTCCTCCTCCTTCCTCTTCTTCTTCTTCATACTAGTTTGGTGGCCCATCTGAACTAGAGGGCAGGTAACAGTATTTCTGAATGAGTATTTCTGGTATGTGTTTAGTATGGTTTGCTAACTCAGGATCTGACTATTTCAAACATAAAAAATAATATTCTTTGTCAATGTTGATATGGCTACTTCATGTGTGAGGCCTAAGACAATTACATTCATTTTCAGTATAACTTCTATCTTATGTTTGTGTATCCTGCTTGCACCCTCTTCCTGTCCTGATAATGGTGGAACATAATTTGCAAATATAAACAATAACTACTGTGAGGGTGAAAGGTTCATTCTCCAAGCTTGTGGACTAGTTTCCGAACATTTCATTACCAGGCTAGGTAACATGTTCAGCGGAGTTTAGGAGATGTCAGTGTCACTGTGTTCTTCTATTTATACGGGCTTCCACAGAAGAACATGGACACTGACATCCCCTAAACTTTGCTGAAGATGTTACCTAGCCTGGCAATGAAACATTCGGAAACCAGCCTACAAGCTTCACTTTCCTACACCTGAGCTACAGACATTCGCCACTACTGCAAATAACTACTATGTTTTGTTTTTTAATAACATCACATTCGCAGAACATAGCCAATCACTCACTCATTGTTTTGTTTTTCTAATTGTATCATGGATCACAACTTTTACAACTTTCACAACTTCCTCCATCTGTATGCAAGGGTAGGATTTTTATAGTGGTATTATCACTCCTTTATCCCAATCTTCATGTACAGTACAAGCTTTAAATGCAATTCTATTGCATTCATGCAACAGGTGGAAAGTTTGAGGAACCTCTGTGCTTTCACCTACTTATTAATTTTAAACTGATCTGTCACTAGGACTAAAATAAAATAGTAAAAATTCTTGTTAATTCAATAGTAACATATATTATTGGACAACCTGTGATCCCCTTGGGTAATTGTTTAAGAGATACTGTAATAGAATGTGTGGATGGTCTTGGGGAACAAAGGGAAGAGATGCGGCATAGGAAACAATCTGACAAGAGAGGCAGGAGAAGTTTAAGGGTCAGAGAAGGAAAGAAACTTAGGAAGGGCCCAAACTAATGGATTAAGCAGTTAAAGGTGGTGGCAGGAAGTTTGTACGTTCACACTTGCAAGATTCTGTTAATGTAGCCTTACAATAAAATAGAGTTAGTTCATCTAGTTGTGTTTCCTGTCTCTTTTACCTAGAAGAGCTAACAAATATTTCCTAAGCAGAGAAACAGAGACCATGTGCTGGCAAAAAAGCATTAGGAGTGGGAATGACTTCTGGCTTCCTGCCATCTTCCCCACTGACATTGCTTGTAGAAAGTTGGCAGGAAGCATTAGAAATCACTCCTTCTCCTTGGCTAACTTGCAGCACTGCCTTCCATTTTACTGGAAGGAAGCAAACAAAGAAAGCCATAGATTGTGAAGAAAACAGCACCCCCTTTTCTCAGAGTGTCTCCAAAGGTCCCGTCCCTTGAGGGAGGAAGAGGGCTTACCTGCTGAATACAGGAACCCTCCAGGCAGTTCTAAACCACCAGTAGGCATCCAGATCGCTTCCTCATCCTTCCGTTACCTGCCACTGCCTTTAAGAGATTTCAGATTTCAGCCTTCATTCCAAAGCAGCCAATTGCCTCTCGTCCATTCAGCTTTGCCGCCAGCAGGTTGGGGGAAAGTGCTAAAGGGAAGCAAGAAACAGGATGGAAATATAACCTTCCTATATTCCTTTGTGCCATGCAACCTACATGTTTCTGGGAGGTCTAGATGGAAACTGCAGTTGTGCTGAAGCCGTCACAACTTTACCAAATTTCAGTCCCACAGGATCACTGGTTCTGGATTTAGAACTCATTCTGTAAGCTACTCAATTTGAGGTACATTGATTCAAAAATTGTTGGCCTACAATGCATCATTTTGTCCAACTGAAAGTTGCAAACAGACACAAAGGTTTTAGTAGTATATAGAACTGTCATTCAGTGAGGTTTCCCCGAAATTGCCCCATTTTACTTTTGTTTTCATTTTATTTTTCAGTCATGAGGAAAATACAGGAAATGAAAGAGTAAATTCCCTTGAAATAATTTAGAAACCTTCCACCTCCAGAAATATGCTACAATAAACATATAAATTTGCTGGCACTAAATCACTGAACACAGTATTTTAATGGACAGTAGTTCTCCAGAGTCCCCGATAAAGGTCTCTCTCTAGTCAGATTTTTTTCAAAGAGATCCAGTATGGGTTAAGAGATAGAATGTTGCAATGGGATTGGGAAGTCCAGGTTCAAAACCGTTTTTAGCCCTGAATGCCCTTAATGGAGCAGTCACTATCTTCCCATTAAATTCCCTCACTATATTGTTATAAATATCAATCAAAGAGCCAGTTTGATGTAGTGCTTAGAGTGAGGTACCAGGCTAGAAACCTGGAGACCATGACTCCTACTCCAACCTTAGGCACAAAGCCAACAGGGTATTGTTAGACCAGTTACCCTCTCTCAGACTTAGGAAGAAGCAAGGGCAATCTGCAATCTTGCCAAGATTATGCATGTATAGACATATAGGTATACATGTATGTTATAAGGAGATTTAGGCAGGAATACCAGGAACCAAACCTGAGATATTCAGGATGTGAAAAATATAGTTCACCCTTGCTGTTGGTCTCTTTCCGTTCTTCCATACATGTTTTCTGTTTTGCAGGAAATGGCTCTTGTGTAATTTTTTTTTAAATGATGCCTTCTTTACCCTTGAAGGTGAAGTTTTTTCTTCATGCTCTCCCAAGTTAAATGTTGACGAGGTATAGGAAAATAGGACTTCTGCTGTTGGTTTAACACATGGGGTTTACGTTTTTCAATCAGTGGGTATATTTTCAGGTATTGCTAAGAACACGTCCATCTCCATCTGTGGAGTACATTTGATAACACAGGGAAGAAAATGAAAGCAGTCAGAGACAAAAGGAGACAGAAGATGAATGCTAGTTTTCCCCTGGGGTTCATGGTTGAAGGAATTAACACAGCTTGGCACTCTAACCTAGCTGTGTTTGTTTCCATGGCAACAGCTACGTACATGTTTCATAGTATCTACAGTGACACAGTTGCAGAAATAGTAGCTTGCAGGTTTCTGATACCGCATCAGTGGGCTAGCAGCACATACACTGTCTTAAGTAAGTGTAGAAGAATTTTACCAGCCTAAGCCTCTGGATTCAGGTAATTTAAGATGCTTCTGACATGAGTTAACTTAAAGGAAGAGGGCTGGACCTTACATGCCACTCTGCCCAGGATGCCATGGTCAAAATTGAAAGTTGCAAGAAGCTTTTCAAGCAATCTGCGTTGATTTGGGCAAAACAATCAAATGTGAGTGAATGCAGCTGGTTTAAAATGTGGGCAGTAAATTTTGAATGAAATTTTGAGGAGTAAATCATTGTGGCAAGATGAACTATGTTCCTTCTTTTCTTTTTCTTTTCTTTTCTTTTTTCTTTTTTTCTCTCCTTAATTCACATGCAGACAAATCTTGCAGATTTATCTTAGTACAATAGTATTGAATGTGAATGAGAAGATTTTAGACTTCACAGTTGCTATGTTGGGATTTCTTGAATTGTAAAACTGATTCCAAATGAAAATGATTGAGCTGTCTGTTGACCAGCTGCTTAATATGGGAAGATTTTAGTCTCTTATGGCCCTCTTTAGGGTTGTTGTAAATAGCAGGGCTATGTCAAAACATAACATTTAGTGACCCTGATTTGTCTTTGACATGGTATTGCTACTTTTTAATATATTTTTTTAAAAAAACTATTTCTTTGCTTTTTTTCCCCTTCTCCTTCCCTTCTTTTTATCCACACTGTTATTATGACAAAAATAAGAATATCCTGATATTCTGACAATTATATTTACATATACATGCTCCAAGTAGGTATTGTACTTATCTTCCAATTGTTTCTGGATCATGGGGGAATGCATAGAGCTAAATGAACGTTAGAGTAAGTTTTAGCTCCATAGATTTTTGGTGTATCATTTGCCCTGATTTCTTTCAGCCTGGTTTCATTGTTTTGTGATTTTACTTTTGCTTTTAATTTTGCTAATTAAGAAGATATTATTCCAGAAAGTACAATCTGATATCTGCCTTTGCTTCCCTCTTTACCTATTCCGTGTACATGCTTCTCCACAAAGGGGAATTCCTTGTATTGGTTTACTCAGAGCAGAAACTAGATTGTGCTTTGACTTAGCATGTGAATGTTGCTTACACACATATCCCAATGT